GTCTGTAACAAGGTGGGCATTGGTCTGTTCTCCCAAGTAACAAGCAATAGGACAAGAGGAAATGGCATTATGTTGTGCCAGGGGAGGTTTAGATTGGATATTAGGAAGCATTTCTTCACTGAAGGGTTTGTACAGCACTGGAAGAGGCTGCCCAGGGAAGTGGTTGTGTCACACTCCCTGGAGGTATTTAAATGACGTGTAGATGTGGCACTTGTGTCCACTGCTAAACCATGTCCCTGGCAGTGCTGGGCTAGCAATTGGACTCAATGAACTTGAAGGTCTTTTCCAACCTAAATGATTCTATGATTTTGTTCTACTTGTTTACCTGTTTAAAAGCTTTTTGCTAACTCACAGAATGACTATTTTAAAAGAGAATCACTTATTTTCTGAAATTCTGATATAGGTGAACAATTAAAGAGAATTCCAGAACCCATCAGAACAAACTGTCTGGTGGGTCTTACAACATTGAGTAGTTGGATCATTCAGACTCAGTGGAAAGAAAGAGTGGAAATAATTCCCCTTTATCTGCACTATGCTACACTTTCTACTATTTTATGTTATTCTGTTTGGCTTGCCCTTTTATAAAGATTTGAGTTTGGGTGTATTTGATTCTTTATAGAACAAAGAAACTTTTTTAAAGATGTAATTGCAAACAGTGTTGCTTTGTAATCGGTTTGGTGGATGTATTCTACTTGATAAGGGGGTTTTCCAGCATGCACTGTGCAGCTAAAAGCAAAGACTGTACTGGCCCGTTGGAAACTCCCTTTACCTAAACCCCACTTTGTGTGGTTTTGGGAGAAGTGTTTCTGAAGCTTGTTATTCTATTTGCAGCACAGTAACAGAAGAACAGAAGGGAGAAAGCCATTGACAAAGCAATGATTCCAACATCTGTCACTTGTGTTTTGTCCTTCCTAAACGGGATGGGGGCTTTGTCCCCCTTTTGCCAGTGAGTGTCCTGCGCATGACGGAAATCTGTAGATCAGGGCTGAAGGAAGAGCACTGCATCCTTGCAGCCCTTGCACACGCTCACCTCATCAAAGACTGCTTGGATGCCTTGAATTAGCAATATGGGAAACACTAAATTAAAGATCAAGAGATTGAGATGTATGACTTTGGTCTTGTGTTTTTATTCGTTCATTATGTGCCTGTGTACTAGCATTTGTCTTTCTTCTCTGTCTGTCTGTTCCAGTAAGGAGACTCTCCTCATAATTATTTCCTCTTGTGAGTCCCCTCTGTCAGCCCTTTTCCCCAGGGGAAGCAGCAGCCCCACAACACAGTCTCATTAAAGAATGGAGTGCATATCAACAGTGGCACTGCAGTTCAGCAACCTGGCAGGTGATGGAGACTGTGTCATTAATGTCACCTCACTGAAGATTAAATACAGTATTATCATCACAGAGTTAAAAGTTTTCGTACCTTTGGTAAAAGATCACAAATGGCAAACTAACTTGCTGATGTTTTTTATAGCATTTAATCTCTGAACACTGAAAAAAATGTCTGAACACTGGCTCCATGTACCTAATATTTCCTAGGTAGTTTGGTACTTCCTTCTGAATGAGCCCTAATATATTTGTTGTCTTAACTGTGTATAAACTTCAAGTCCTCTTTTCATACAAGTGTTTACTATTGCATTTAAATCCTAGCGTAATAGACTTTAAAAGTTTCGCCTAATGTTGCACACATTGGCACAGTGTGTAGTTCAAACAGCCACACTTGCTCCCTTATTCTTTGGCACAGCTTTAGATGTTTGCTCTGTAACTCTCCAGCACAGCTACAACGAGAAAAGGGAGCCTGCAATCTGAGTAACCCCAACAGCTGTAGCTGAAGGGAGCTGTCAGGTTCTTGAGTCGCTTGGTATCTGAGTTGCCCCCTCCTTCCCCGAGCCACCTAAGTGGTTGTTCCAGACCATCTGCTCTTGGGAGCCAAACATGCACCCACTCCTGTCTTCTATGCTGCCAAATTCCTTATCACTGCTTTATCCCACAGTCTCTCCTGGCCCCTCCTGACTCTCTCAACCCTGTCCTTAAAAACACGCCACCCCTGAAGCCCCAAGGTACACTTGCATACGCATCCCTGAGGAGTGCTGTGTTACAGTCCTCATCTGGGGAAGAAAGCTCCAGTATTTAGGCAGGATAAAAATAAGTTTGAGTGTACTACAAAGATCTGATGCTGCTCACACCTGGGGGAGCTCCAGCAGCAAGTTACCTGCTGAAAATCTGTTCTGACTGGTGACAGGACAAATTCTCCTTACCCTTCTCAAAAGGGAGTTAGTAATTCCTGATTCAATTAAGGAGGTGATGGTAGGACACCATCTCCTGTTAGGCATCATAAGTTCTTACAGAGCCTTCCTATTCTAGACAACAGTACAATCCCCCATTTTTCCTGGTAATTTCATTTTACAGCAGGGAAATGGACTCTGCTCATGTGTTTAGACACAAAGGGATTTATTTGCCTATTGGATTTTATGTATTCTCTGAGGAGGTAAACAAAGACTAGTGTCCAAATGAAAAACAGCAGGTCAACAAAATCACAGCATGAAACTGCAAGACACTACATGAATACGGATGGGTCTCAAGCTCAAGAGTATTTCTGTGACTACACTAGCTGTTCTGAAGACCTGCTCTTTCCTCCACAGAGCTAACACGTTCAGACAGGGCTGCAGGCCAAGCACAAAGCCCCACAGCTAGGTTGTGTTGCGGTTATTCAGCAGACACCCCGGGGCAGGTGATGGGACAAACGCTGCCCACTGAAAATACATACTGGCAAAACTGTGAAATGACAGCTCTTCAAACATCATAATCATTTGCACGCACTCTGGATTCAGCTAGTCATTAGACTCCTAATATGTTACACAATCTCTCTGTATGGTTTTTTTTTCTATTGTACAGAACTTTATTTGTAATATAAGGCAGGAAGACACCAAGTCAATCTCTCAGGGATCGTGGCCCGCATAGAATTTGGACAGAAAGTCTTTAGGTTGCGGGGTTTCCGTCTCATGGAAATACCTCATGACGTGAGTCCTCTGCTTCCATACATGAATGGTTTCTTGAAGCTCCATTTTCCCCTGAGCACAGACAAAAGAATTTTAGACCAGTTCTCAGTTAGAGCCCAAGTCTAACCTTACAGCAGCATGAAAGTTATTTGAATGCACTTAGGAAGATTTAAGTAAAAAATAGCTGCATCAGCAATTCTGTACTCCTACAAACTCCTTGTATCACCTACACTGTGACACAAATATACTGACATACAAATGACACAAACATATACAAATATGTTCTCGCTTTGTGACTTGACATCTCTGCAGCATAGCTCCCCAGCCCTGTGAAACAGGCAAGGGATCCTGCCTCCTTCTTAAAAGCTGCATTGTTTCTCTCATAACCAGCACCTCCAATAAAATTCTACATAACATTCCTAATTTTCAAGTACGTCTATTTAATTTGTTTGAATAGAAGCACTTAGCAAAACTAAGTACTATTGCCAAGTGCTTAGCACCAGTATCACTGCCATAGAGATATTAAACTTCATGACTCCACTCTATTGTACTGGTTTTGTAGGATGGCAGCACATAGTAAAATGAGACTGCCTGGAATTGTCATCAACTGTACTACCTAGGATTCTATTTTCAGATTTTTTTCATCACATAAAGACAGAGTAACTGTCTTGAAATGCATGAAATACAACAGGTGAGCATGGCAGTCCTTGGTTGGATGCTTTCTAATGCATTAGAACTGCAGACGTCACTTACTGTGGCTCTTTGAAAGATCTGCAAACCAGAAGAACCCTGAGTGACGGAAATCTGTATTCGAGCCACTCGGACTTAGGTGCATTAAGATCCTGTTCCTCTGCTTACTGAAGCAGCACGATCCCTGATCAACAGGTTTGCTGACACAGGTAAACCAATATGACTGCAAGAGACAACCGCTCCATTGCCCAAGTTGTTTGTACCTTAATAACCAGCATGTCTATCACCCGTGGATCCCTAATGTGGGCGTTCTTCATGAACATCTCCCGCACCTTGTTACGCCCCTGTTTCACCGTGATGTCCAGCTGGTACAGGTGCACTACAAGAAACACAACACCCACTGCGGTCATCCACATCGCTTCGCGGTTTTCCCACCGGCGGGGTTCAACTCAACCCTCCAAAACGCTACCGAGTCGCTCGTTCATGCGCAGCCGGCCGGCTTCACCAATGTCATTAAGGCCGTTCGACCTTGAGCACGCGCGGCAAGTCCCGCGCGCCTCACCCACCCGTGTTGGGCACCTCGCGGTACCAGGCCCGGTACAGCTCCCTGACGCGCCGCTTCGCCTCGCTCAGGTCCCGGCTGAAGATCGGCTTCACCGCGGCCGACACCACCCCCTTGCCCGCCACCGCCATCTTGCTGCCGCCCCCGCCCTGCCACCGCCCGCGGGAACGCGCACGGCGCGGCAGCGCTCCTATTGGCCGGCTGTGCTGCCACTCCGCCCGGCCGGCTGACGACCTCCCATCGGATTGGTCGCAGGAAACGCCAATCAGCGCTGTTTGCGAGGGAAGAATCACTCTGGGTGGGCGGGGCCGCGCCATGTCCCACCCCCCCGGGCGGTCGGGTCCGACCCCTCAGAGCCGGGGCCTCCCTCAGGGCCGGGTGGGGATGTGTTTTGGAGTTATGTATTTGTTGCCTTTGCCCCCCAGACTGTTTGCTCCTCCAAGTGGACCTTCTGTCAGTGCACTATTGCGTGCTAGAAAGACAGTCCTAGTCTAGCTATACCCACGTTTTTATCCAAATACATGAGTGCTGGGATCCTCACTGAGGTTAAGTTCCTGGCAACCTTCTCTTTAAACACACTCGTGTGTGCTGGTCACTATAAACCCGAAACCGTTCAGTTCACTGTCACTGAACCGACCAGAAAAATAACACTGAAAGGATCTTTAAAGCAGCAGTTGCGGTGCTGGGGGCAAGGAGAGAAGTGTCAAGTGAGCGTCTGAGGCTGGGGCACAGCAGGACCGAGGCAACCACAAAGAGGAGAGGCAAGAAACAACTTTTATTCTTTCAGGGGTTTTTTTGGGATTAAAAGCATGAAGTACAAATCTTAGCATGGAGTACAAATCTTAACAACTGCATTAATAAGTATCTGCATAATTCAGTAGCTTCCATAGCTTCCAAAATTAACCTTACAAAGATAGATATGAACGTGTCCACACACATGCACTCAGTTTCAGGTATTTGGGTTTTTTTAGTGGTGGTTATACATAGAAACTCCTTTATGCTATGGTCCTTTCAGCCATGTGGTTAAAAGGCTACTGTTAATCTAAATATCAACATATCTTAACACCTTGCAAAACAATTTGTCAGAAATATTGCAGGAAGAAAGAGAAAGGTAGTTCTGAAGTCATCATCATCATCATATAGTTTCAAACAGTACAACTCCACCCCTTTGTGAGCTCCAAACCTCCCCAACCGATTTTCAGCAATGCTGAAAAAAACCCAAAACAGTTATCAGGACCTAATTAGAGGAAATGATAAATCTAAACAGCAGGATTTCTCTTGAAATGTATTTATAGAAATTTCTGTATTTCACAAATTACCTGCTTCTGTGGCTGACACACCATATGCATTATTTATGTATTCCTTGGTATTTACTCCTACTGGAGGAATAGCGAGACATAAGGGTTGTCAGGATTAAAACTTACTTTCTTTGGGGCTATAAATGAAAACAATGCAATATTTGTGCAATAGAGAGGAGTATGTAATAATTAGGAAGGAACAAAGAAGACATGTATATGTTGGATCGTAAAATTTTTCAGGAGCTCTGCTCTGAAACTGCGTTTAAATGTCACCTTGTTGGAGCTGAAGCTCTCACCCTGCCCACCAGCAGCACCAGCCAAATCAGCTGACCATCCCTTGTTTTTTTCAGGAACCAAGCCAGAGCTGGGCTCCCCTGGGCACCAGGCAGAGGCACACACTGCTACACTGCAGGAGAGGCAGAGCATGGCCAGATAGGCAGTGGGGCTAACACTAGTACCTTACAGGTTTTTTTTGCTTCCAGAATCAGCAAGACCCCAGGGTTGTCTTTTACCCAGGATATCCTTGTATTTCTGTAAACTAATTCAGGGCTAATAATTCTTTCAGAAGCTGTGTGTTCAGCGAACTGCTTCTGCAACCTATGAGAGCCCGAAGTACAGCAAAGCTGGCTGATTAGGCAAAAATATCCTTACAAACTTGATTGCCATTACTAACTTCCTACAGCTGTTTGGTTCAAGATCTAGAACCAGACTTAAACTAAACGAGATACTGGGCTAGATCCTTACTTTAGACAGCTGTGGACGTTTTTTTGACTTGAGAGGCCTTAAGTGGAGCCCAGCATGATCCTGCCTAGACCTGCAATATTCCTGATAAAGTTTGCATTGCTGGTGCCCTTGAGTGAAAGGAGAGTGGTGTGCGCTTATCTTGGGACAGCTTGCAAAAGGTACGGGTGTGGGGAGTTTGTGAGAGCAAAGCGACCATCCTCCCGTGGCCTGGGCTGGTCCTTAGGGAGCACAAACGTGAATTTCTGCAGGAGAGTGGTAAAGAAAAGAAAGAGCTCCATCTTGGCCAGCTGTTCTCCCAGGCAGGCACGGCGACCTGCAAGAGAGGGAATAGAAAGTGTCCATCAAAGAGGGCATTAATCCACGCTGGAGTCACTGTGGGGGGAGCAGATCACCCTCCTGCTGTGCCTCTGACTTGCAGCTGGGTACTCCCTTCAGATTTACCTGCTGAGAAGGGCATGAAAGCGTCTGGTTTCACAAACTGCCCGTTTGCATCCAGGAAGTGTTCAGGGTAAAACTCATTTGGCTTCTCCCAGACTGTCTCATCCTTCAGCACAGAAGACAAGTTGGCGATGATTGTTGTCCCCTGCATTCGTCAAGAGGAAACAACTTATGTGAGAACAGCAGCATTACCTTGGCAGAGTGGATCAGTGCTGGTCCCTCTTTAATCTGTGTCTCCCATCTAATAGCAATCATCGTTCCGTGCCTCAGCATAAGGCACCCATCTCCACTTCTGCATCTTATTTAAAGCAGAGGTAAAGCAGGGCACTTTTCCAATGACATATGGCGCCTGCCCTACGCTCTGAAACATCTGAACTTTTGCAATTTGTATCCTAACAGAGGCTGTTGAATGCAAATGCTGATTTCATGGTTACACAGCGAAAACAGCCTCTGCTTCTCAGATCCTCCTGGACTTGTTTTATAGCTGCAGAGAAGCAGCTGACTGACAGACTTCAAAGCCCAACTTTCACAGGGGCCATGGAAAATTGCAAAGCTTTCCTGTTTCACATGTCAACATTCTAAGCCAGAGGAGGTACTGTAAGGCTACAAAAAAAAAAAAAAAAATCCCAGGCTTGAATTCCGCCAATGCTGCCAGGGCATCTGCCTGTCACAGTGGAAGTGGTCTGAATGTCAGTGGCATTTGAATAGCTTCAGAGGTTAGAATTTTAAATACTACCGTCTTAGGAAAGTCAGTAAGCTGGTGTCGTGTACCTCCAGAGAGCATGTTAGGCTCCTTCCAACACAGGCAGTGAATATCATGGCTCATAGAGAGGAAGGGAAGCGTTTGCACTAAGCTGCCACTGCAGCTGGGTTCCCATATAACCAGTGTAAACCTAGAGCACAAATATGGCCATCTGCCTGGATTTTGCATGTCAAAATGTCCTACTTTAGTGCTCACCAGTGACTGTAATTGGGTCTGGATGTGCAACACTGCAGAATTGTGTGGGGTCACCCACACCCCATGCCTGGTGTCTGCACAAGGAGAAGATGCTGTATTGCTTATCTGGTCACAGTCACCTTGGGAATAAAGAAGTCTTGCAACTCGGTGTCCCGGTACGTCATGTGAAGTAGTCCAATGGGAACAATATCCCCACGGCGTTGCACTTCATGGATCACAGCATTAGTGTAAGGCATGCTCAGTTGGTCCTTCATGGTGGGGGGTCTCTCTCTCCCAATCACCTTATCAATCTCTGCTTGGACCTTACCTGAAACCAGGACAGAAGAGGAATTAGAGGACACTTAGATAGACAGAAGAGGCTGGTACAAGCTGAAGGAAGATTGGCAGCATGAGACTGTAGGCACTGGGTGAGAGCAGGACAGGCAATTAGTGAAAGAAACAGGAACTAGATGGGAAGGCATTTTTCAGTTGCTCGGTGACATCTGTATAACTGTTCTTTGCACACAGTGTCTTTAATAAAGGCCTTGCTACTTGACATGCTACCTTACCCCTCCTCTATGCAGCTGGAAGGGTACCTGGGTATGCAGCAGTAGAGAATTTGAACTGATCAGCATCTACTCCAAATACTGGAAAGAGGGTACACTGACCACTGCAAGTCCCCAGCCTTCAAAATAAAGGCGAGAGTGAACTTGCCTTTCCAATTTGTCTTTTTTATCAGGGCTTCACCTCTGCCAGAACAGCTGTTTGGGAAGTGTTTCTCCTGGCTTCTGCTAGGCCAACAGTCACCAAAGCAAAATTCCCAGATCATGGAGAGGTGTTCAGCCTCCTTGCAGAAAAAGGCAGGTTGAAGGGAAGAGGCCACGCCTCTGCCTGTTTCTGACTTACTCTGTATTTCTGGGTGGAGAAGCATATACAGCAATGCCCACCGAAGAGTGGTGGTGGTGGTCTCAGAACCAGCTCCAAACAAATCTCCAGCTACCAGACGAAGGTTCTGATAGTGGAAACCTTTCTCTTCAGCTTCCTTACCCTGTGAAGAGCAAACAAGTGGGAAATTAGAGCTGGGGTACTTGCTAGCTGAGAATAACACTGTCCAGAGAAGTACTGAGAAGCACTAGATCCATTTTTCCGTGGGAGAGTAGAGCACAACACAGGCAATGGTCTCAGCATGACTGATGTACTTTGCAACTCTGTTACTTCATGTATTTGAAGGTCCTCAGCCACCTCCTGAGAGATGAAAGCTACACCTGCCTTCAGGACAGGAGTGAACACTTTGTACTCTCAGCTCAGACAGCAGGCCCCTGCCACTCACTGTAACATCCTCCCCCAGAGGAGGTGGAACACAGTTATCCATGTTTGGTCTGATCATAAAACCCACACAGTCGAGAGGAGGCTGCATTGATGTGGCTAATGCAAAATTAACATGATTTTAAGGGAGTTATCCCTAGCTACGCATTACAGATTCTCTCTGCTTCTGGCCTCATATATTTTCTCACAATCGAAAAAAAGAGAGATGAGGGTATTACTGCTGCCTATTAAGTCTGCAACACCACTTTCAGCATAACCGGTCTCTCATCCAAATGCTAATTGAGCTCAAATTTGTTAGCATATGAGATATGACAAGCTCTCTGCATGAATTCATCTTCCTGTCTTTTCTAATCCTCTTTATACTCTCCCTTCCTAGGGACTAGCTTCTGTTAAGTTATTCAGTATATTTTGATGCTGTTGTAATAAGGATAGCAATTAATAAGGCATTTAAGACTCAACTGTTATTCCACTAAAAGATCTCATGCAAGGGAGCTATGGGACTGACCTGACCAAAGCTAACTCAGGAGAAGGATTTATCAGACTGGCTTATCAGGGGATCTTAGTGAAAAGAAGAGCGCTGTGACAAAAGTCAGCATGGTCAGGCTCCCATCCACCCCCAGATAGTACTGCTCAGTGCAGAGTAACACAGGTCATGTTGCTCTGCGTGTACAAGCTGGGGGGCCAATGCATGGAGGAGGTGACCGACACCTCTGGCACGGCAGGGTTTGTGATGCGGAGCAACAGTCCAGCCTGAGCACTCGGATAGTGGAAGCAATTCACAAGGAGAATTTGCTAATATTTCCCATCTGGCACTCAAAATTTAGTGAATCCATGCGCAGAAACATATGGTGGATGGATGGGCTGATGCAAGTACCTTTGATTTTATACTGAGTTTGTGCCTCACTGAATTGAAGGAAAGACTCTTTTGTTTTCAGTGAAGTTCAGATTTAGGTCTTCCTCTGGTATGTAGGGAACTAGTTCTTAGCAAGCAATTCAAAGACACATATCCCAAAGGAGATGCCGTCTTTTCAAGTCATAACTTGGTTTAAAGACAGGCTACAGACTGGGCAATGACACCAAAAAGCCACTCTGTTGCCGCAGTTTTGTAACTGATTTTGAGATATCAGTCATCAAGGCACTGACATTACAAAGAATCTTGCATATTAATTTGTTCTCTGGTGCAAACTTAGAAATATTAGTGAATTCTCAATCATTGCCTTTTAAAAGCCTTCAAAATGGTGTAGGCTAGAAAGAAGGAAGTTGCTAGACTCTGAGGGGAATGTGAAGGTCGAAAATGGCAACAAGAACATCAGCAGATAATACAATCTCTCAATACAGTAAAGGAAGTTAAAAGATGAAGAACATCTTTCTTATGAAGATATAACATGGAACGAAAAAGTAGGAAATTAGCTGGTAAGAGATTTTAAACAATTCTGTGAAGAAAGTCAGCTTCTATGAACAAGCTTAAACAGGCGGAGAAACTGCCCCTGGACCTGCTGGTGTCACCCTACCTTCTCCATTTCCTTTAAAAATGCATCCGTGAGATCTCGGGTGTGAGCAGGGTCCCAGGTCTTCACGTGTTTATCTACGAGCCCACCAATGTAGTCTATGAAAGCCTTTTGGTTTCGAAAGACTTTCTGTGCCAGTCCGGGGATGCGCAACAAAATGGGCACCACGTTAAGAAACTGGGGTGTGGGAACCAGAGAGAGAGAGAAGGAGAGACAAGATATTACGTGATGCAAAAAAGAAAAATTATGAAAACACAATGCTCTCAATCAACAGAGGGCAGCTTCTTACAGCTCTCAGTTTACCTGAGGAAGGAATCCAGTTTCTTCACTCAGGGAATTTTCAAAGAAACTCAAGAGTTTGTTGTATGTCTCATCACTGTAGTTGAAACGCTCTCCAAAGACAATAGTGCAGATCACGTTGCAGACTGCAGCCTTTACAGGACCATGAACATCGAAAGAACGACCTGAAAATGGAAATGGAGACCAAGCAATGAAGCTCAGCAACACCAAGCTGTTGGACCTCAGCTGTCAGCAGCAAGAATACACAAATGCCTCCTCGATGCCTTCAAGACAAGAAGCCCTCAAACCACTCACAGTACAAATGCATCATACTAAGAAGTGAAGATCATCTCATCTCTCAACTAATATTTGGTTGATCTGTGTTTAAAGGAGAAAACTCCCAAGAAGCTGCAGGCTTGTTCTGTGACTTGACAGGTAACATGTTGTGTCTAGATGACAGGCGATGTGCTGTGAACTCTCAGCTGCACTTCTATTGCATGTGATAATGTCAATATGTTCCACTAAGCTTCATAAAGGTAACAGTTACCCAGCTTTGGCAGTAATTCTATTTTACCTCTCTATTTCTAATTTCCTATTTGTTTCCTCTTTCAAATGGATTAGTGTTACAGTAGCCACACTATGTAAAGTAGAAGTAGCTCCAAGGAATTCATATAGACTAGAGACACTGCATTTTCTTGGGAAGAGAGCCCTGCCTGCAGACAGGAGTGACTTTAGTAATACTTTGCATCGCTGTATTGCCTTCTTCTGTGACTTCCCCATCCTTGTGGATGTGACAAACCTTCTTCAGACTTGACTGCTGAACAAAGAAATCCAGCTTCCTCTACCACTCGCTCTTCTAAGGACTTCTTTCCCATCCCAAAGTTCCTCAAGGTAGAGAGCGTGAATTTCCTTAGCTCCTTCCACATGTGCCCGTATCTTGCGAAAACAACACCTGGAATTATGGATGAGCAAGAAATGTCAGGATATTTCACTTGTACATCAAGGAAAGTTTGCTAGACAACAGCAATTGTGAGTTTGGAGGTACAGGTCTGTGTGGATAGATGAAAGAGTCTGATCTTATACAGCTCCTTCATACAGCAATTCTGAAACGGATTACTGCACCTTCTAATGCCTGTGCATGGCTAGCAGAGGTGGAGGGGGGATTCAGTGGGAGGAACAAGGGCTGCTAAGGATAAAGGAATCACCCCTCCAAACCATTCAGCATTGCACCCTTAGCTTGTGTGAACTGGGGAGCAGCTTGTGCCACCGCACAGGAGCTGAGGATGAGATGTGGGCAGGATGCTGGATAATACTCTGCCTTGGATGAAAGTTACCATATTTTTTTTGCAACAACAACTTGCATATAGTGCTGTTATGTGCAAGCTGTTGTTGCATAATCATGTTGTTTTACATAAGCACAGTAAGCACTAATCACTGGGTGTCAGGAGCTGGCAAGAAGTTGTACCACTGGTAGTGTGCTAACACTGCTGCAGAGGTGTGTGCTCACACCTGAAGCTGTACTACAGCCACTAAGGGGAGCCTCCATCTCATCAAATCCGATTTTGTCACCACCAAAGAGTGACAGACGTACGAGGAGAATGACCCAGGGGACACAAGAAGGTGGCACCATACTAAGAAAATCTTCCCTGTCAATTCTTCTTGTGCTAGTGCCAGTGAATAATGCCTATTTTCAAGAGACTTGCCTTCAGAATTCTTTGCATAGCCCATATGTTCATACATTGGAACGTACGGCCGGTCAGCAAAGTCCTCTGACTTGTGGACCAGGGCTTCCTTCACTGTTTTATACCCATTCAGCACCACCAGGTTGGTCCAGCAGTTCTGGAGGCTGTAGATGTTTCCATACTTCTTCTGAAGCTGCCAAGATAAAAAAGTATGTCCCTGAAAATGAGCTGAATGTAACATCAGAAATATCACCATATCCTTTCTTAGGGCCTTTACTATTTTGTGATTTTTTGAGGTGCTTGTATTCGGAGATCTTCAGCTGATCTTTGACCTTTGTCTTTGCAGTGCAACAGCTCAGTACCAAACAGCAGTTGAAGCAGGGATCAATGCTCCATGAGTGGAAAAATTTAGAGTACACCTATCCCGGTGTACAAACTGTTGCCAGGAACATTGTGCAAGTATTTTGGATTTTGTCAAGGACCTGGGGATTTGCAAAGGCTGCATGTTCAACAATTGATTATTTCCTAATATTTGTATTTACTTTGATCTGAAAGACTAGGTAAGTTTTGAGTTAGTCTACTTCTGCTGAAGGAAATATTAATGGTTGGGTGAAAGATGATATACCCTACATCTGCTGCGATCTGTAAGAGACATCATGCTGACAGCAGGATGTGTGCACAGATAATCCTGTCAGCCATGCACTCGCCATAGGATTTGACCTTGGAGCTGTCTCCTCCAGGCAGACAAACCCTTTAAATGGACACAGACTCCTGGGAAGGCAGGTCCAAGCTCCCCTGCTAGTTAGGAACACTGAACAAAACACCCAGGAGCGTGTTGTTCAAAGACATGCAATAGTAGCGATGCCCCACAGTTTTATTTTTCTTTTTTTTTCTGTAGGTTTTTTTGGTTTTGTTTTGGTTTGGTTTTGTTGTTGTTGTTGTTTTTTATTTTGTTTTGTGGGGTTTTTTGTTTGTTTAAAAACTAGGAGCCTTCATTTCTGCACTGCAGTATTGCAAGGAGTTGGAGTACTTAATACTTATTTGCAGTAGGGTTGAAAAGTGAATTAGCACTTCACTGGCACTAGAAATACATCATTAAAAGCAATTACTGGTCAAGATTGTGGTTAGCATGACCCTGACGTGATACGATTTGAAAATGGTAAGCTTTTGGACTACATGCAAGCAAATAATACAAATGCTATATTTAGTTTCTCCATTTGGCAGGTTTTGGATAGACAGCTGAACAGCGCTGTCCTAGAAAAGAGGGCTTTAGAGTTTGCAAGCTGAAGCACAAAACCCCCACAGTTTATCTGCTGCAAGCTGTGCTGTGCTTTTCCTTTGAGAAAAGCTAAGCCCTGACTTCGAATAGGAACGTTACTGAGATTTTGGGCATTGCTGCTGGGGCAAATCCCACAAGCTGATCTCTTTAACTGAAACTGTCACATGCCTGCAGGCATGCCTCAGTAACTCACACGGAAGTTTGCCATTCCGCAGCCTCATTCCAGCCCAGATATTTGTTCGTCTTTCCTTGTTTGTACATCTTCCTGTTCTTTGCCCCCAGATCTGCCCACGTGGTAGGTTGGTGGCCAGCTCTACAGCATCACCTGTCATTGGGGCACAACAGCATCTCCCACTGAGATCACGCAGAGATGGGGAGATGGAGGTTGGTCAGTGGGGGTGTGTGATTATTGTTCATCTGTGAGGGCCAAGTCAGCGTCCTTAGGCAGTGACTTGCTTCATCCTGGAATTTGGAGAGGGCATTGCCCTTCAGTTTTGTGCAAGAGTAGGTCATGCCAGGGTGTACCCCACCCCCCCGGTCGTGTGAGGGGCGCTTCACTGCAGGGGCTGACACTCACCTGTTTGAAGGAGTGGGTGGGGTTGTGGAAGTCAACGGAGAGCATGGTCCCGATGAATGGCAGAGACACTGGGCCCGGGGGGTAATGGTGCCACTTCTTCCTGCGCTTCATGAAGTCAAGCAGTACAGCAAAGACTGTAATAAAAACACCCAGTACAGAGATGTTGCTCCAGAGGGATGACAGCTGGGACCCCAGCCACAGGAGCAATGCCATTTTGTAGCCTGTCTACTCCTCTGTCTTCCTCTTTGGACGCAAGACTGTTTCTGCCTCCTTTTGCCTTCTCTCCTCTTCTCTCTTCTCTTCCGTTTCTGACCTTTTAATATGGGAGTTGGCTCAAACTCGAAGCCCCTCCTCTGCTCAGCTCAGCCCTCCTCCTCCTCCAAAGCCTTTTTGTCTCTGTGAAAGGAAGTGGCTCCTGCCAATAGTGCCGTCCGTGGGAGGTGCTTGGGTGCCCTCTCCAGCAGCCAAAGTGGGATCACAGTTCACAACATGCAACCAGTCTTGCTGCATTCCCATGGGGTGATCTGGAAAGAGTTTATTTAAATCTGTCTTGTTAGTACAGGCAAGTCAAGGGAAAAGCAGATTCTAAACACAGATCGCCCAGGTTTCTGTTTGCAGGGCTGAGGATTGGTTTCACTGGACCTCGAGAAATCTCAGTTTAGGTCAAACATTCACTTACAGAAATCACTTGTCACAGAAATTAGTCTAAAACAGTGACCTGAGACTTTAAAAATCGTTTCTATTTCTGGGATTAGAAATCTTTATCCAACTCCAAATGTCAGTCAGCATGATGACCTTGGCTTTCGTAGAACACAGCTCAGCTATAAAGGGAGAAAGCAATATACTATATGAAGCCTCGAACTTCCAGCCTTTGCGGCAGCAGTAATGCAAACACAATTATGGAGTTAGTCACAGTATTTCCTAAAGCAGCACGGCTGTGTGCTCCTGGCATCTCTGCCATCGGAGATCAATAAACCTTGCTCTTAGGACAGTTAGTTCTAGATAAAAAGCAGCAGTAAAGCCATCACAGCTTGATCTGTGATCTCAGTGTGATCAGAGAAAAACTCCTAATGGAGAAATCTCTGCAGCAGCGATGGAGAGCTCAGAATGCAAAGTTACGCACCTGCAGAGGCTGTGAAGGCAGCTCTGCTGTGCACCCATGGCCTCAAGATGCCCCTTCCCCTGGGAGGCACCTCAGCACTCATCATCTGTGTGCTGAGGTCACCTCGCTGGAGTCTACAGCACAATCCTGTTTTGAAAGCATCGTGACTCAGGGTTCACCTCAAGTAGCTGTAAACAAACATGTGGCACAGGAAACAACGGGAGGAATTACCAGCCCCCTCACAACTGAAGAATTGTGAATTCTTTTGGGTTACAGAGACATGCTGGGATGTTCACGTGCCTGGGAAGCTGCCACAGATGGACACAGTCTCTTCAGGAAAGACAGGCTGGAGGAGTGTATTGTGCAGACGAGGGCCCAGAGCTTTGCCGTGGGACAGCTGATGGGCCAGTTGAGTGCCTGTGGGCAAGGAGAAGGTGGCAAAGCTCCGCAGGCAGTGTTGTGCCAGGCACTCACTACAGACTCAAGGAGAGAAGGTCAACAGAGCCATCTCACACAATCACAGGCCATAGCACTAACTCAGGGCATTCTTTAACTGGAAGAGCTGCAAGGTCAGGCACAATCCAGGTGGTTTCTGGAGCGTGCTGAAGACTATTTCTCGACATAGGTGATTGATGGAACAACTAGAGGAAATGCTGTACTGGGTTTGCTGCTCACAAAAAAGGAAGAATTGGTCCAGGATATGATGGTCAAGTTTAAGTTTGCTTGCAGCAACCACGAAACAGTGAACTACTAAATCCTGCAAGAAGTCAGCAGGATAAATAGCATTACTGCCCTTGCCTTCAGGAGAGCAGATTTCACCTCACTCAGTGATCTACTTGGCAGGATCCCAAAGAGAGTTGCCCTGGAGAGTAAAAGGGCCTAGGAGAGCTGGTAGTTCTTCACAGGCAGCCTACTCAAAGCGTGAGAGCAGTGCATGTCATATATTACCTTTACACTGTTGAAGCCTTTAACACTATTTTCCACAGTATGCTTCTAGCTAAATCAGTGAGATACAGACTGGCAAAGCAGATGATAAAGTGGGTGGATGATTGTTAGATTGTGGGGCTCAAAGAGCTGGGATCAGCAGTACAGAGTCCAGCTGGTGCGTGATCACTAGTGACATCCATAGGTATCTATGCTGAGGCTGACAAAGTTTAAAATATTAACAACATGGCTGATGGACAAAGATCACTCTTGGCAAGTACAGCCTGGGAGAGCTAACAAGAGCTGAAGTATGTTTTCAGAGTAGCCTGGGAGTTTGTTGCCTTTTGAGTACCCAAAATGTTTCAAACAGCTCTGCTGTGAGGTCTCAGGAGACAGAGCTGTGACAGTCCTGTACTCAGTGGACTAGCTTGAGCAGGAGACAGCTGAATGCTAAAAGGTCTTCCCTGCACACTGCTTTTCATGACCCACGCACTCAGATGACAAAAGATGGGAAATGTGGACCAAAGAACATCAGGGACATTTCCTGATCACCCCATCAGTAAAGGGAGGTTACCTTGCCTATTTCACTTTATTTTGAGCTCCACCTTTATGAACTTCAGCTGAAAAATATCCATCTGGGTTCTTTCCATTTTCCTTACCTTAGCTAGAGCCAAAGGCTGTTGGACTCCCTTCACTTACCTGCATGCTATAAGAAGGATGGTTGATTAGAATTCAGGAAGTGAATTTCCTTTTATAGAACATCACCCTCAAAGACCATCAGAAGAGGAACTCTCCAGCTGCTCTGATTCCTGTAGCTCAGCCTTGACATAAGGCAACAAAGCTGGAACCTGAAAAAGGCACCAGGTTAAGAAAAAAAAAAAAAAGTACACAGACACAGACTTAACAATTTACACCTTTCCAAAAGATCCCTGGGTAAATGATCTTTATCCCCTTCAGACTGCAGGATAGACAGCTCCTTCTACTTAGGGCCAGTACCAAGGACTGCTATTTCTGCAAAGGACTGGAGCAACTGTTATAGCTTTGGTAATTTCAAAGGAACAGTTTTCAAAGCAACCAAAGAAACAATAGACAACAAATCTCTTTCTGAGAGAGAGAAAGAGAAAAGGGTAATCATCCTTCTGAAGAATGAAAGATGTTCATTTGCATTTCTTTTCAATAAAGTAATATTTTGAGCAATTTTCAAGCCAGGGGAAAAAACCTCCAAATCCATACATATTAATTTTAGCTAGCTGTCTCCCTGCTGTGCTGGGTGCATGTCTTTGACTGTGAGGAGTCAATTAAGAGACGAGCTAAGTGAAATTACAGAAGTTGCATGCAGACATCACCATTCTTTGGCTGGAGAACCTGCATTACAAATAGAAAGGCAGCTTTGAGAAAAAAAACTTATTACTACTGCAAAACAAAGCACCCAGAAGTAAGGTAAAGCAAGAGCTGCCTTTTTTTTTTTTTTTGGATGCAATTTTAATTGAGCCTTTTTGTCCATGTAGTCCATAAGACCATTTTTAATGATGTCATGCCTTTTTGAAGGATCTTCTCTTTATTCAGTGCACAAAATAGATGATCTCTTGTTAATCTTGTTCTAATTACACTATTTGGCTTCAAAGCCTGTTTTGCCACCTGCTGTCCACACCCTGTCCATAAGGGTGTTTTAGATGGGCTTTTCCACAGTGATCAAGTGACTGCATGGGTTTGGAGCAGACAGTCTTTTGTACCCACAGGGTCCCTCGGAGGTGCCGCCAGTGGAAGCAAATGACCTTCTAAGTGTTTGTACCCAAAAGGAAAAGCATGGAAGCTGCCACACACAGGACCTGTGCCCAGCTCCCAACTAGGGTTGCAAGTGGCTTCTGCAGATCTTCCTGCAGAATCACAGCTTTGGCAACCGGGATATGAAGGTCACAGATTAGTGTCTGTTTATGAAAACTTAAACTGCTGTTTCAGTAATTACCCAGCATCACATACTCATTTCTTCACAGAGGGTGGGGTGAAAATCTTTCAATGTCCAAAGAAACACTCCTCCCTCCTTCTTTGCTTCAATACTGGAGCCAACCAGGAAGCACTGCACAGATAGCATGAATATTTCCTTGAGCTTTCAGAAAATTTTCATCCAAACCCCAGTAGGCTGACTGCTTTTCCCCTAACACCATTAGATGGACCCAAACCTCAGCAATGTTTCATTCTGGAAGAGCAAAGCCTCTTGGAACAGCACTGGTCAGCATGAAGCCTGCTGCTCTCATTCCCTGGCTGTCCATCTCTCAGCCTACAGCAGAGCTGGGTCTGATGAAGACCCCAGAAACCTTTCCTCTTTGGTGGCCTCTTCTGAGCACAGAAAACATGGCCTCCCACTCAGTCTCAGACTTTTTTGGTCTTTCCTCCACCTCCTTTTTCTGCCCACCCTCTCTCTTTTGCCTGTTCTGCCTTCACTTGGACAGCCTCTCCTCCTGACCATTTCAGTGCTGGAAGGGGCAAGAGGTGCACAGAGGAGACCAGCTCCACACTTGTCATTCACCCTTGCCAGCCTCTGGCAGCCAGCAATAACCACCACCTGCTTTGTTCAGACATCTCAGGGGAATTTTAGATGAAAAACTGAGAACTCTATCAAGCACAGGCAAACTGGGTTTTCAAGTGCTTGTAACGTAGCCAAGTTTGAGCACAGTTTTAGAGAGCTGGTGCAATGTGTCTTCCTAACACAAAGCTGCCTCCTGCCAAATTTTGCATGTAATGCTTCAAAGCATTAAACTGAGAAAGGAAAATATCACCAGAAATTTTTCTAATGAGTTAGGAGAAGGTCAGACAAACAATGGATTTCTAAGAACAATGTCAGCCATTAGAAAGGGATCAAAAAATTTTTGGCTGAATGTTCCCAAACAAATTTAGCCTGAGGCACAACCCCGACGCAGGAAATTTTAGTCTCTGCTGGTTCATTGTGACTTTCTTGGCCCTCAGATGGGGGGGGGTGTTAAACATTAGGTACTTCCGCAGTCTTAAGATGGACTGTGCTAACAGCTTGTTCATAATAAAGCAGTCAGCAGAACTGAAATAGCCAAGTCTTTCATAGTTACTGTTACTATGACTTACTGCCAGCCTTCCCACATTGCAAAGAAATCTGTTCTTCAGGCTTTTCTTCCTTAAATTCCCCATGGTTTCCTACCCTTTTTCCTACATCAGTCACAGCAGTTCGCTTATCACCAAAAGAAATGGTAGTTGGACTTTGCTTCTTTAATTCAGCCCTTGCCGTGGCATCCCATCCCCATGCATGTCCCTTGCTCTTAAGAGCAAGCA